GCGCTCGCAAGGTGCACCAGCTTCTCGTAACATGCAGGTGTGCAAAATCCATCGAGACGTTCGTGTGGCAGCTCACTTAGGTGTGGTTCAGTGCAGTCGTCGTCGTTGTGATGATATCTTGCAGCTCAGACACAAGGTGCGTGTAAGACATCGTGATGTTCGCTTGGTGCCTCACTCTGATCTAGTTCGGTGGAGTCGTGGTGATTGCACCTTGCAGCTCAACAACAGCGTGAACGCAGGTAAAGACATGTTCATCAATGACTCGTATCTCCCACAGATTTCTCATGCTGATGTTCTTTTTCACTCGCATGCTTGTTTATCTTTTCTCCAAGATGGCTCCTCAGACAAGATCCTGGCACAGCCCCGTCATGATTGTGGCAATCGATCGATGACTGATTACATGGATAAACATTCTAGAGTAAGCAGTGCCAGGTGGCCTCTCTTCAGAGATGAGTGGCAAACTCAGTCCATCCAGATGGCGTGTACTCTTGGTATTTGTGCTATGGTTGTGATTATGTGCCGGAGTACATGCTCCGCAACATCGCTTATTGCCAGATCCGGTCCCAATTCCGGAGGAGGTGGAACTCGAGTGAAACATTTTTCGTCTCTTTGGATTTTAGTATGTTTTACTTTCGTTATTCCCGCCTCTAGCGCGAGGGTTGTCGACTCCACCACAGAGTCGACGAGAGGCTCTGATGAGAGGCTCATAGGCTCTAATGGGCCGAAGCATAGTGGTGAGCAGGTAAATGCCATTCGGTGGAACAAGTTTGCCTTCAGCTTTGCGAGGAAGAGATCTTACAAGAGGGCTTGCAGGAGAGCCATTCTTAATCCTGAGGGCACAATGTACAAAGGTCGCTGGCGCACAGCTCATCAATTAAATGCACAATATGCTTCACAGATCACTCCGACGTCGAGGCATCGAACAACGACTACATCAACAAAGCCAGAACCACAAAGATTGCACATTTTCTGCTGGAATGCTGGAGGTCTAGGTGCAGGATTGTGGGATGAAGTGATGTGTTGGATGGACGAAAGTATATTTGACATAGTCTGCATTACGGAGACGAAAATGGCATTCTCTTCATCGTGGACTACACGCAAATGGCATTGTTTTCACAATGGTATCTCAAAAGAGTCCCGTGACAGTGGGGGTGTACTTACTCTTGTCTCTCGCAGGCTGTGTGGAGTGAATGGAGTTCGTTCGGATGATATTTCACCAGGTCGTATCTCGCATATCCGCGTTGATCAAGAAACACATGGAATTGACATTTTCTCGGTGTATCAGAAGGCTTGGTCAAATCGCACCAAGGAGGTGGCGCAAAAGAGGAAGCAACTGTGGAATGGACTGGAGGAAGAAATTAGGAAAACCCCGGCTCGTAATGATTTAATTCTGATGGGGGATTTCAATGTTTCTCCGGGGCCAAGCGGATCAGAATTCGGGCCGGCCACTTGGAAAGGAACCAAGTATCAGGCGAGTGATGGATGGAGGCTTATTCGGATTGCGCAAGACAATCAGCTCGTGGCATTAAACACGTGGGAAAAGTCACAGCCTGGGCATACCTTCGAATTTGGAGATCTACGTTCGCAGGTTGACTATGTCTTGGTGCGCAAACATAGGGCTGATCGCATTGCGAGGTCAACATGTCCAGCCCGTGATCTTCCTGTTGGCCAGTGGAGAGCGGGGGCGCTTCATTTTCCGTTGACTGCTAGTGTTCCGAAACCTTGGCGAGTCTTGAAATCAAAGTCTAGCGTGACAGATAAAATCCACGTGGAGCAATTGATCATGGATTCCAGGACGAGCTCTGAACGCCTTGGGTCGTTGCGACACAAAGTGGCATGTCAGTTACAAACAGCCAGGGTTACCGGGTATAACGACATACTTCTCCAGTGTGTTCGCGAGTGCTATCCATTTCGCCCGGTTTCGCTCGAATGTAGTCCTTGGGAACAGACTGAGACGAAATGGAAGGCAAATCGTATGTGGCTGCTATTTAGGCAGATGAAATCAAGTCGTGTGTCGTCGATGGGTAATGTGACAACTGCCTGGAGATGTTGGGCTAGGTTTGTCAAGGCTCACAGGGCTTACAAAAAGCATGTCCGGGAAATTCGCAAACAGAGACATCTCAAGTTACTCGAAGACGCGGAGAAGGCGGCTGAGATGCATGATATGCGTACGCTTTATCGAGTAGTTGAGAAAATTGCTCCGAAGAAGCGCAGAACACAACTCAACATCAAGGCTGAGGACGGAAGCATGCAATCCCAAAAAGGCATGATGCGAACCTTGTGGAAACATTGCATGGATTGTTANNGAGATTGCTTTTCATGCGAAGCCTCGCGTACTACATGATCCTGTCAATCTTGAAATGGAGGAGATTCTCAGGCACTTGTTGAAAACCCCAGAAAGAAAAGCAGTGCCTGCGCATTGGGCCCCGTCCGCTGTTTGGAAGATATGTGCTTCAGAAATAGCTGCGGCAGTGAAGGTTGAACTTCAACACACGTGGGGAGTTGGTGTTCCTGAGATTGCGGTTGACTGGTCACGGGCTTGGCTGGTTTTTCTGGCTAAGCAGAACAAATCGGGGCACAAAGCAAAAGACTATCGCGCGGTAGGTCTTCAATGTCCTCTTGGGAAAGCGATCATTGCAGCTCTGACATCCAGGATTTCGCCGTTCATACACAAAATGGCGATGCAATTTCCATTGCACGGCTACATCCCAAAAAGAGGTACCTTCACAGCTCTCAGACAAGTTTTTCAACATTGCTCTGATGTCAGGAAGCTTTGCGAAGAGTGTGCTACTTCAATACACGACCTCAAAGATGGCAAGACTCGTCCTCGATGTGTTGGGGGGCTACAAGTCTTTTTAGACTTATCGAGTGCTTTCGACCTGATGCCTAGATCAAAACTATACCGAGCACTACTGATGACTGGAGCTCCACAAGCAGAGATAGAATTGATAATGCAGTGGCATGTTGATGCGACGTACTACTTCAACAATGACTGCGAAGGTCGATTCATTCAGACGAGTCGAGGAGTACGTCAAGGTTGTAAAGCTGCTCCAACTTTATGGCTTGCTTTTTCAGTGTTGTGTTGCTCCATTCTTGATGAGAAACTTGGCGCAGGGTGGTGTGCAAAGCATGCGGTGATCTATGCAGACGATCATCATGTGTCCTTCATCTTCAAGGATCAGGCAACACTTGATGCAGCTGTCAGGGCGGTGGGAGTACTGTATGAAACACTTGCAGAGATTGGCATGGAGGTCTCGGCTCCGAAGTCAGCGTGCATATTTACATTTCGAGGCACCCGCAAGAACATGATCAGGAAACAGTATGTCAGGATGATCAAGGATCAAAGCATGCTTAGAGTTCCCCAAGGTCAGTCCAGCATCTATATCCCCATCGTCACGGAGAAGATTTACTTGGGAGCAGTGGCCTCATATGGCAGTTTCGAGAAGTTGACCTTCGAACACCGAGCTTCCATTGCTAGGCAAAGATACTTTCAACTGAAGCCCATCCTCAACAATCGAAGCTACATTTCCAGGAGGGACAGATTGAAAATGTGGTTGACATGTATCTGGACAACGCTATCTTATGCGTTGACTGAGTCGGGAATTACCTTCCAATGTCATGTACAACTGCAAAGCATGATGATGAAGCATGTCAGGGCTATAGTTGTATCGCCAGCACACATTGACAAGGTCTCGGACCAAGATTTGATGACGTGCTACAAGCTTCAGGCTCCTTGCCACATGCTACTTCGGCTGATTACAAAAAAGCTAGAGGATGATTGCAGTGCTTGCGGACGCAGGGCTTCTCCAGATCCGTTTCGAGCAGCTGAATGGGCTTCTCACGT